AGATCCCTTGACTATTTAGTTCATTGTTCTATAATCGACAGTTGCTTTAACTAAAAAAAAAAAAGAGTTTTAATTTAGTAAATGGAAAGTTTCCAGTCCAAGATGGTAACCAAACACTTCAGCCTTCATTCTAAAGTACTCGTCTAAGACTTCTCCTTCGCCCCGCCCCAGCACAAGGCCTTCTGTGGCTAGTGGCTGCCAGCCTCCGACTTTCCCCAATTTACCTCCATCCCCATTAGGTAACTGCTGCGTAAAAATGGGAGGAGGCTGGACAGCTGAGGGGGTAGGGCAGATCTGTTTTGATAGGATGGGTTTGTACTACCTGGATGGTTCAAATTGACTTCCTTGTAGAGTGCCATTAAAGGTTCTTTGGAGATTACCATCATCAGAGACCTCTCACTTGAGCCCCTTTGTCCTAGATAGACACAGATGGCTGCTTGCGACAACCTCTATAGATTCTAGGATTTCTGTGTTCATCTCTAACTTCTGGTCACTGGGGTCCCTCCACATCTCCAGACAGCCCTTTTGAACAGACCAAAGGCAACCCCATGCTGACCGCCTTCTATGTGACTCACATCTGGGAAACATTTACTCATTCGTCATCCCGACCAAATCTGGGACTATTAGTGGATCCCAGTGCAGCCACCTCTGCCTAATGGGTACTGCCTTCTCCCACTTTGTAGGTAAGAGTCAGTGCAGTTCTTGTGTTTTACAACTACAGGGAACAATTTCCAAGCTCTCTAGTCCCACAGAAGCCCCTCTTTATACTTGAGAAGAGGGTACAGCACAAGTACTGCTCTTTCTCTGTATATGAGGAGAGTGGGAATCAATAGCACAAGCACATTTCTCCCCAAGAAACATCTTCACAGACCCTCCCTCTCTACACTATCTTGATTTCACCATGAAGTAGAACTGTTCTTCAACACTGACTTTGTACATAAAAACTTCATTGAAATAATCATCTTAAATGGCAATTAACCATTTGCAATTCTCTCTCCCAGCTTTTCATAGAAAGGAAATTATCTTTCCATCTTTATCTTTCCTGCCTGCTGAGCACAGACCTTTGAACAAAGTAGGTGCACAGTAAATGTTTGATGAATGGATGAATGTATGGATCCAACTCTCTTTTGGTTGTGCAGTAGATTCTCAGAAACACTATAACATAATCTGTATAGACAGCCTATTTTATCACTCCCTGGGAGACTAATCATTCTTATATTTATAACCTGCTTGGAGTTCTCCAGAATTTATATACTCTAGCATTTATCAGCCAAGAAATTTTGAGAGATGACACAACACAGAAAATGTCATCTTTTTTTAAGGAAGAAATGAATAAATAAACATGAGATAGATTAGGTTTGTAGAAAAGTTATGCGATGTCAAATCAAACCTCATAAAAAATTACCTCAAACCTGTGAGAACTGCACATATTGTTTGAGTATTTCACTTCAAAACCCTAACGCTGGGCGGGAGGGGACAGAGAAAAATTAGATTAAAATATTTAGCAAAATGTTAATGGGCTAAACATAGGTGTTGGATATAATGAGTTCATCATACTATATTTTTTAGCTTTTTTGTATGCTTAAACATTTTATCTTTTATATGACATTAAAAATTGAAGCTGGATATCACCAATGTCTTTACCCTGTTTTAGAAAAGAGGAGCCAGAAGAAGCAAAAATGTAACAGAAACTGCCGAAACCGGTTTGGCTCAGTGGTAGAGTGTCGGTCTGCGGACTGAAAGGTCCCAGGTTCAATTCCGGTCAAGGGCATGTATCTTGGTTGCGGGCACATCCCCGGTAGGGGGTGTGCAAGAGGCAGCTGGTCGATGTTTCTCATCGACATTTCTAGCTCTCTATCTCTCTCCTCCTCTCTGTAAAAAATCAATAAAATATATTAATATTTACCAAAAAAAAAAAATGTAACAAACTATGTAGACTTGGCCATCTTAAAATTAAGCCTTCACAGGTCCCATTAATATAGCATTACAACAGCCATAAAGCTGTTCTTATTTGGACTAGGGAATAAAAATTTTGGAAGCAGGAATTTTTGCTTAGGAATTTGGTAGATTCAGAATTTATAGAAATAGAAGGATATTTAGAGATTACTCCAGCCTATGCTCTCATTTTATAAATGAGAATACTGACCCCCCTTTACCCCCAAAATGGAACAAAATAACTATCAATATCAGAGCCAGGGCAAAAATCTAGGTATTCTATATTATGTTTTTTCTTTCTATCGTCCTGGTTGGCACATGACATTGAACAAGAGCTGCCAAAGCATGGAACCTCAGAGAAGGGATGGACGCCACCCTTCAGATGTACTACTTTCTTGTGCTGAGTGAGTCCCTTTGACTCTATCGTTTCTGTTGTGTACAGGCAGGGCCTTCTTCTTTTGTGCAGTGGATTCTCCTAGACAGAGCAGTAGATCCACTAGAGTAGGGGTGTCGAACTCAATCAGAGAAGGGGCCAAAATCTAAAATCCAGCCTAAATCGCGGGCCGAATGGTTTACTGAACAGTCATAAACTGTCATTGTGATGGAAACGCAGCGGAGTGCAGTGATGACAGCGCGGTGCAGGCCACATTGCAAGGCCTGGCGGGACAGATTTGGCCCGCGGGCCTTGTGTTTGACACATGTGCACTAGAGTGACTAGAGCTAGACTTAACAAAATGAAGGCCAGAGAGGCAGTCAACCTCAATAGGTCAGTTGTGCGAAGCTGTGCTCCACTTTGAGAAAGGTATGGGTGGAGCCAATCAGAGCATCACCTTGATCTGGAGAGAGGAAGACTTAGCGGGCCTGGGCCCACGGTATTTATTACATCTGTACCTCTCATCTTATTAATTCCCCAGCCAAGGAGGATCTTAAGGGTTCAGGAGAGAATATATCACTGGGGTATTAATGTGAGCCACACAGTTCTGGACACAAAAAAATGGGAATTTGAGAGATACTGACCGAAATGAGGTTAGGTCTGGACAGGACATGCAGGTGGTTTGATTTCTCTTATGATCATCCCGGCTGGTGGTCAGGAAAGGCTAAGGTTCTAGATAACTCCTTTATTTTGGATAAGCATGATACTATATTTGGAGATGTAATGTTCTTTAGGGCCCTAATATACTTCTCTAGGTTAGAAGCAATGGATATAGAATCAAACCATTTCCAGGTCAGAGATTTGATCCAAATGCCTTAGAGCGGTTTGGTGGGCGGGGGTGAGAAACTCTAGCTTCCATAAAGTCTCATTCAAATTTTCCCAAGTAAAACTAAATTAAAAAACAATAGAGTTAACATGTAGCTACTACTTCAAATCAAGTCTCCAGACTCACTCCCAATCAGAGGACTGCCCTCACAGAGCTGTCAATGACCAAAACTGCCTTTAATCCTGAATCTGGAATTGGTGGATTGCAGGCTGAATGTTGCCTGGTTTTAAAAATAATTTTTTTAAAAATATATATATTTTATTGATTTTTTTACAGAGAGGGAGGGAGAGAGATAGAGAGCTAGAAATGTCGGTGAGAGAGAAACATCGACCAGCTGCCTCTTGCACACCCCCCACCGGGGAAATGCCCACAACCAACCCCTGACCTGTATCGAACCTGGGACCTTTTAGTCCGCAGACCAACGCTCTACCACTGAGCCAAACTGGTTTCAGCAAAAATAATTCTGAGAGAGAGAGAGAGAGAGAGAGAGAGAGAGAGAGAGAGAGAGAGAGAGAGAGAGAGAAAGAAAGAAAGAAAGAAAGAAAGAAAGAAAGAAAGAAAAGTTGCAGTCCTAGCCAGTTTTGCTCAGTGGATAAAGTGTGGGTCTGCAGACTGAAGGGTCCAGAGTTTGATTCTGGCCAAGGATACTTGCCAGATACTTGCTGGCTGGATCCTTAGTAGGGGGCGTGCAAGAGGCAGCCAATCAACAATTCTCTCTCATCATTGATGTTTCTACCTTTCTCTCCCTCTTCTTTCCCCTCGAAATCAATAAAGAAATATATATGTTAGAAAAAGAAAAGTTGCCAACACTTGCAATTCGGGAGAATTCACTTTTTAAAAATTTGGAATTTCAGCTTCTTTTAAATATTAGACAGTCTTACCATAGCAGGGTGGAGGAGGCGGGGACATTTCTGCATGGCAAAACCCTTCTGCGTTTGGAATTCAGAGGAGGCACACTCACACTGGGCGTGAGCTTTTCCAGTTCACCAACCCCTCACTGTTGTACATGGGTGGTCTGCTATACATTTAAATATTGTTGCTAAGAACAAGCTTTGGCAAGTGGGTGCTGGGGCACTCTTGGTTAAAAAGGCGGCCAGTAGACCAGTCTGTGTCGGCTGCTTCACTCTTTGCATGCATCACTGCATTACGTGCTACTACTGGCTTCGAAATGTTTATGCTTTATATGCACAGTATATCGCAGGCTCTGCATCTCTCTTGGTGGGACTGGTTATTGTTAGCATGTACCTCTTCTTCAGTCCTCAACATTTGGGCTCCTGTGCACCTTTGGTATAGCTCCTTCTAAGTGAGGGCTGACCATATTCTGGAGGGTTCCGAGGAGCATAAACGTGTTCCAATATTATGAATAATTCTGGAAGCCTCTTTTATTAGCCAAAGACACCTCTTACGAACTGGTCAGTCTCCTAGACAAATGAACTAGTGTGGCGACCTGGGGAATAATCTGGGAACGAGGTGCTCAGGACTGAGCTCAGATGGAGCCGTGGGAGGCAGCGAGGGTCATGGATGGGCCCACTCAGGCCACATCTAGGCAGGTGCGGCCCCACAGAGTGGGTCCAACAGCTAGTGAATGAGCTTGTCCCCACCGCGGCAGACCCGAGCCGGGAGGCGGGGAAACCGAGCCACATTGCGCCTGCGCGCAAAGCCTCTGGACCAGCAGAGAAGGCGACGGGGGGAAGGACGGATGCTTTAGGCCCGGGGAGGACGGATGCTTTAGGCCCGGGGAGGACGGATGCTTTAGGCCCGGGAAGGACGGATGCTTCACGAGTCTGCGCAGGCGCGGCCCTCCTACGGGCTCTGGTCGCCGCGCAGGCGCAGTCCTCGCCGCTCTTTAAGTCCTGTAAACAGGGGAGCCCTCCGGTGACAACTTCTGCTTCCGGGTCACTCCTTGACAGCCGCTCTCACGACCCAGCTCAACCCCCCGGTTCGGTGAGTGCGGTCCTCGCTGCGGGAACGCTTGCACCCAGCTCCCCTAACCCGCGGCGCCAAGCCCGGTAACGCTCCCTCCGCCATCCGCTGGGCTCCGCGAGCCCTCGAGCCCGAGCTCTCGCCCCGGCCTCTGGGAGACCAGGGAGGGGGTTGGTCTGCCTCGGGGGCTCCCGCGGCTCCGTTTATGCGACCCCCCTCAAAGTACCGACTCCGGGAGACCTGCCAGGCTTGCTGCAGTTTGAGGGGTAGACACGCGGAAAGTGACACCTCACGTCCTCGCATTTCGTACCCTTACCCCCTGCCCGCTAGTCTCGGGAGACTAAGCTGCCGCGAGCCCTCCCCCAGCAGGTGCGGCGGGGTGGGGGGTTCCTCTGGCTGGGCCCAGGGTCTCCCCTCCCAGTGGAAGCACCAGAGCTATTAAATGTCGCCTCCGACTTCGCTTCTAGCTTCGCCATAAAAGCCCCTTGGTGTTTCCTCTGGATTTGAAGTGAAAGTAAATGGGGGAAAGAGGGCTTTCAGCTCCAGGAGAGGAAAGGGGTCACTTGGGGGTCAAACCGTGCATGGCTGCTGACGAGATAGATAGGTCGAGTTTAGATTTCCTGGACCCTTCCTGACAGTGAATGTTGTCAGTGTGCCCCGGAGTTTCATTCTTCGCCGGGAACTTGGAGGCAGCAGCAGAGAACCCCTGGCCATATCCTGAGTTAGGAGTTCCATGAGCATTCCCCAAAATGATTGCAGGGTTTATTTAGCATCTTCATATGATCATGGAGTTGGTTAACAGGACCACTCGGTCTAAGCCTTCCACTTCAGATGCTCTGTCTGCTGTCCCCATTCTTGGAATCTCTGATTCAAATGCACTTCTGCACTTTCCTTGCAAAAAAGAAATATAAGATACTGACCCTTGTCTTTGAGGAGTTTAGTGGCTGTTTGGACAAATTATGCTAATTCTAAACTATCTAGAAAATTTTAAAGAGATATGTAAACAAGTTGTAAGCTTATTCATAATAACATAGGGGAGAAGAATTCCCAATTTGAATCATTGGTACCTATGAATTGAATAATTTTAACTTGCATTCTATTAGTTATTACTGTATATATTTAAATAGAAATGGCTAGTGATTAGCAAAATAGAAACTATTAGAGTTTGTAGTATGGTACATAATGTATGAGGGAATACTTTATCACAAAAAGCAAAAATGATATAATATTATATGAAATGACCAAAATAATTTTAGGGTTTTTCCCTTAGTAATCATCATATGTATAATATTGTTTAATTACAAGTCTTGAATTGTTTAATATCCAAATAATAAGCTTTACATTGGTTCAACAAGTATTTATTGAGAACCTATCATGTGCCAAGCACTATTGAAAATAAGATTATATTTACCCCCAAGGAATTTATAGTTTAACTAGGAGCTCAGTGCATGAATTCGTGCACAGGTGGGGTCCCTCAGCCTGGCTGACTGGGGCCTGATGGGAAGAGAAGGGACCATAGGAGGTTGGTGGACCAAGGGTGGTTGGCTGTGGAAGCATCTGCCCCCTGGTGGTCAGTGTATCATCATAGCAACTGGTTGACTGGTCATTCATGCTTAGGCTTTTATATATATAAATAACATAGACTCTAAATAGTTACAGATAGAGGGCTCTTACTAAATTTTGATATATGCTTTATGTATATAGCCAAAACTTTGATCATAGTTGAATTTACAAATATTACATTATTTTCTTCTTCCATTCTAAAATTGTTCTGTGGTCTCAATATATATTTGCCCAAATCTATTTCTCAGTTGTCACAAATGGCCAGTTACTAAAATTTTTAATTCATTTTGCACTAAAATCTGCTTCTTTCCCTATAATTGTATGTGTCATTGGTGCAAACTTTGGATTCTTTTCTAATTTAATATAATTGACTCCAGAGTTGTACTTTTACATTTCTTTCTTATTTTAGAATATTACCTCAAGTATTTCCCATTTTTTTCTTTGTTAAAAACATTTTAAACTGTTTCACAGATACTTTGTCATTAACAAAATGTAGTTGTTCCAAAGTCTTTTCCCTCTCCTCACAGGTAACAATCACTTCAATGCCCTTTGGTCAATCAACTAATATTTATTAAATACCTACTTTTTGCAAGTCTCTGTGGATAACCTTACATGGGCAAAAAAGTGGAAACAAAGGCCTTGCCTGCCAATTGATTACAATTTCTATTCTTTTTTAAAATGGAGGGCTCCTCTGGAGGGAGAGATAAATAGAAACCTCGGTGATGAGGGAGAATTATTGATCAGCTGCCTCCTGTATGCCCCCAACTGGGGATCAAACCAGCAACATGGGCATGTGCCCTGACCAGGAGTTGAACCCATGACCTCCTGGTTCATAGGTCAGTGCTCAATAAAAATCCTGGGTGTTTTCTCTGGATCTGAAGTGAGAGTAAACAGGGGTTGGGCTGATTACAATTTAGATGGAGAAAACTTATGACTGTAACTATACTTCAAAGCCAAACATATCAAATAACCTAGAGGTGGTGCTGATAAGAAAGACCACAAAATTCAGAGGAGGAAAAGAATGTTTTGTGGCATCTTTAGACTTAAAAAAATCCCCTTCTTTGTGCACACTTGTTTCAAATCACACAGAACTTCATGGGGTTCTTGGGACCTCTTGGAGAAATTTTGTGCTAGGCTAGGCTGACACTGAGGTTCTAATGGTCAGGTCCTTTGTGTCCATGTTTACCCAGCTCCCTAAGCAATTATTATTAATTTCTTTCTTTAGATTAAGAGAAAATCATTTTAATTAATTATTGATCTCTTTGAAATCTGCTTTTAGTATTGGGAAGGCCTCAGAGGACTCCTACCCGTAAGAACAGGTAGCTCAGTGATACTGTGTATGCCTAAAACCTCTTTGTTTCAGGCAGTTTGGAGCATGTGAACAAACCCTGAGCCTTGATGAGTTCCAGTATGTGGTATATTATGCAGAGCATTCAGAGCAAATACTCTCTCTCAGAGCGCTTAATCCGAACAATCGCTGCCATTCGTTCCTTCCCACATGATAATGTAGAGGACCTCATCAGAGGGGTGAGTGTGCTGTTATTGACACAGAGTCCTTGGGGAGGTGAAAGTTCCTGGGAAATCCTAATAGATGACAGATTTGCAGCTTTGACTCGGCTCAAGATCACAAAGTAATTTTTCAGTATTTTTAAATGTAGTAATTTGACCATTGAAATTTATTTCCCCTATTTTTTGCTTCTCTTCCTTTCTCCTTTTTCACTTTGAGCTTCTGATATTTTCCTTCAGAAAAATATGTTCTAGATAACCCTGGTCTCATGTTTTTTGTGAAATCCCTGTCTGGATATGGTGTCTGTCAGATCCAGCAAATACAGTCTTCTACACATGTACTGAGGGAGGAAGGAGACCAGCAAAGCAGAAGTGGTTTTCAAATTTTTGTGTTTTATGATTACATTTGAGATATCACCTGCCTTCTAACAACAGCTACCGCTTCTAGTTCTGTAAAGAATAGAATCAACCCCTAAAATATATGGTAATTTTTAACTTAAGAAAATACCCTAACATCTGTTATTTATCCACTACTGTTCAATAATTCATGACTAGTATATCCTAGAATGTCTCTGATACCTTTTTCTGCATATTATTCCTGTTGAAGAGAAGTTACAGTGTAATTTTTTTAAAATATATTTTTATTGATTTCTGAAAGGGAGAGGGAGAGACAGAAACATCATGATGAGAGAGAATCATTGATCAGCTGCCTCCTGCATGCCCCCCTACTGGGATCAAGCCTGCAACCTGGGCCTGTGCCCTTGATGGGAATGGAACCTGGGACCCTTTAGTCCACAGGTCAATACTCTATCCACTGAGACAAACCGGCTAGGGCTGCAGCATCATTTTTTATCACTAGAAAATGAATCTAGATGGATACTTCTGTGCATTCTTTTTAACAACTTTAGAATCCTTACTTACAGCCTAGAGTTCTGTAGCTGCTTCAGAGTTGTGTGGCACAGCAGTGAGAAAAGAAAAAAAAAGTCATACAGTGTTAGCTTATTTTCAGCAAAAGTGGTATCCGAAAGCTCCGCAGTAGAAATTTTGTCACATTCTAATTCTAGCTCTGCTGCTGAGTCATTCAGTGACTTTGGTCTGACTGTAGTATATCTCCTTGATCATATTTAGGGGTGTGGGAGAAAGAAGAGGGGAGTACCAGCAGGGCTAGATGGCAAAGAATGCTGACACTAAGAGGCTACTTTGAAAATGTTAGTAAACAAAAAGATGTGAAGGTGACCTTACTATTAGTGATGGCCATCTGGTGAATGGCAAAAAGAGCATTCTCGGTTCTGCTGGCTTCAGTCTGACTTCCTGACTTTTTCAGAGCTTAGTGCTCATAGAAAGCTTTTCCTGCTTTCCTGCCTGCTGATGAGGTTCCCACCGCTTTTACATACCAGCTCATGTCCTCAGTGATGTCCAGATGACCTGGCAGGCTCTCTTGTGGAGAAAATAACTTGATTTAAGGAATTGACAGTCCCTTTTATTCATCATCAGAGTTTTTGTGTGGTTTGTATATTAACATTATTTAATAGGGATAGAAACTGGGACCACTAGTCTGTTTACAGTTGAGTTAGAACCCTCTTCCCCTTGGACTCAGTTCTGAGTTCTGTCCTTGATGAGCTGGAGCTGAGACACTGACTGAAGTTGCCCTCTGCCGTAGGGAGCTGATGTGAACTGCACTCACGGCACGCTGAAGCCTTTGCACTGTGCCTGCATGGTGTCCGATGCAGACTGTGTGGAGTTACTCCTGGAAAAGGGAGCTGAGGTAATGTTCTTAACACTTGTCACTTTAATGATTTCCTAAAACTGGAGCTTCACATTTTCTTAAAATTTATCTCTACCCACCTTCTAGCTCCTGGTAATATTGGCATAGCCATTATGAAAGCAAAATGCAATGGCAAATATATAAAATCATCCTAAGGATTTCATTCCTTTGACTTTCTTTTTAAGTTGTCCAGAAAGAAGGAATCTTGTCTCCCCTTTCTCTCCCAGCCTTCCTTCTGGAGTTATTTATACTTCCATTTAATCCTTTTACTGCCTATTGACTGTCCGAGAGCATTAAGTGCAGAGGTCCCTTGACTCTGATTAAATCTAAACTACGTGAGACCTGCTGCTACCAGACATGCATTAATATCAGTCACTGGGAGATGCATATCATTTAGCAATCCCTTCCTCAATATTGAGTTATTTGTGTTATTTCTGCCTACCAATTATTTTCTGTTTTAATATATCTTGCTTCTGTAAAAACCATAGTTTAATTTAGGTTGGTATTAGCAAGAAGCAGCAGCATAGAATACTGAGTGATTAAGAGAATAGATTCTGGAGCAGGACTTCATGGATTTGAATTCTAGCTGTCACTTCGTCCTGCTGTGTGACCTTGAACAAGTTACTTAACCTTTCTTTACCTTAGTTTCCCCACCTGTAAAATGGGGATGACAATGGTATCTTCTTTATAAGGTTGTAAAGTATTTAGAACACTGGCATGTAATAATTGCTAACTGCTTGTTAAATAATTATATAAGCAGTTTTACTCATGGTGAGCTATTTAACGTGCACATGCAGAGGCACTAATTTGAATTAGACATGCCATGAAACTGATGTGCAGCCTCCAAACACTCATCAGTAAGCCTAAAGGGCAGCCCCAGCATCTGATCTCCACACAACTATGTTGTTCTCTACTGTCATATTTTCCATAACTTTTTTTTTGTCAGTCCTCACCCCAGGATATTTCCCCATTGATTCTTAGAGTGGAAGGGAGGGGGAGGGACACAGAAAGAGAAACATTGATGAGAGAGAGACACACACATCGATTGGTTGCCTTCTGCATGCACCCCAACTGGGGCCAGGGATCAAGCCTGCAATCAAGGTATGTGCCCTTTTCTGGATCTGAACCCAGGAACCCTTCAATCCATGGGCCAATGTTCTATCCACTGAGCCAAATTGGCCAGGGCTCCATAACACTTTTGTGAGTGACCCTGAAATGAAAGCCAGTGATTAATGTCAGTGATGAAAATGAAAATATCTTGGAGGAGAAAAAGAGAGTTTTTAGCTAAATACAACCCAGTTTAAATGTTTCAGTTTTTCTTTATTCCACATAGGGGAAAGGAGGGGCAGAGGGGGAGACAGAGAGACATCCACACTGTGTAGTTGCCTCTAACCACTGAACCAAACTAGCCAGGGCATATCTTCTCTTTCTTTAGCCCTTATTCTGTGGTAGAGATCCTAGTGAGTAATAAATGAGAACAGCAGCAAGCACCTAAAGAATGCAGGCCAGCCAGGAAGTGCACATAATAGTGTTGCTTGGGGACAGTTCTTTTCCTGTTTGCTCCTAAGCTCCTGTGATATCTCTACCTTAATCACCAAGATCCCCCCTGGGAATTGGTTGTTGACCCTCTTGTTCAGAACATTACAAGCAAAGGTAGTGGTTAAACATGCACACTTCTTTGCCCACCTGTCGTCTTCAGTAGTCCATCTACTGTAATACAGTTCCTCCCTCTCTTCAGGTGAATGCCCTGGATGGTTACAACCGAACAGCCCTCCACTATGCAGCTGAGAAGGATGAGGCTTGTGTGGAGGTCCTGTTGGAGTATGGTGCAAACCCCAATGCACTGGATGGCAACCGAGACACCCCCCTTCACTGGGCAGCCTTTAAGAACAATGCTGACTGTGTGCGGGCCCTCCTAGAGAGTGGGGCCTCTGTCAATGCCCTGGATTACAACAACGATACCCCACTCAGCTGGGCTGCCATGAAGGGAAATCTCGAGAGCGTCAGCATCCTTCTTGATTATGGTGCAGAGGTCAGAGTCATCAACCTAAAAGGCCAGACACCCATCTCCCGCCTGGTGGCTCTGCTAGTCAGGGGACTTGGAACTGAGAAAGAGGACTCTTGCTTTGAGCTCCTCCACAGGGCTGTTGGACACTTTGAATTAAGGAAAAATGGCACCATGCCACGAGAAGTGGCCAGAGACCAGCAGCTATGTGAAAAACTGACTGTTCTGTGCTCAGCCCCAGGAACTCTAAAAACACTCTCTCGCTATGCTGTGCGCCGTAGCCTGGGACTCCAGTATCTGCCAGACGCAGTGAAGGGCCTTCCCCTGCCAGCTTCTCTGAAGGAATACCTGTTACTCGTAGAATAGCCTGGAGGAGACATTTGCGCCATCACGCAGGCAACTCTGGGTGAGGTTTTCCCTGCGCTGCTGTCTCTGTGTCTTGGAAATCAGGAAAAGCAGCTGTTCCTGTTGTGTTGTTTATATTTTGAGGCAACATGTCACAACAGTAACCTCCTCTCCCCAAACCAAGCAACCAAACAACAAGAAAAAGATCTCTCACTTTTGTCTTCTGTTTACTTATTACATTGCACCCAGGGAAGAGGTCTCCCATCTCTCCTCCTTCTTAGGGAAAAAGCCAACAGTACAATCTATAATTTTCTCTAGGAAGATGAAAAGTACAAAATACTCAAAGAATGTGTGTTTGGTTTTCCTTTGGGGACATAATTAACAGTTTGGAACAATCCTCTAGAAGCATTTTCATTGATCTGTGAAGAAGTTTAAGAAAATTCCATCTAACGTTTGCCCAAAGATGAAGGTATTATATAGCCTCAAGTAGTGTGCAGATGGAGAATTGGGCTGGATGGTATCCCTCGAGTGTTACCTCATGGGGCATTCAAAGGGACTGGCCCCCTTTCTCACCATCAAAAGAAACAGCAGTCTTTGCCTCCTTTCCATGGTTGTGACTAAGGATTACAATAATTCAGCAATATTATTTCAGAAAGATTGTCTCACTGCTTTCCACATAGTAGGATGGCAGGTTCTAAGCAGTCCTAAGAACTTTCTTCTGCTGCAGCTCTTTCTCTTCCTGAAAGCCAGCCTGCTCTAATGGTTTAGCAGGCATTTCCTGCACCAGAGGCGAAGGGGTTTGCTCAGTAGGAGAGGAGTTGGGCTGCCTTTCCCGAGGGTCTTCCTCATTCCCTACATGAAGCTCACTTTGCTAAGGGCTTGGAATTATTTTTCTTTGATTTGTTTTGGAAAATTGGCTCTTTCCTGATCTAAACAAGACATTGGTGGAGGGGATGGAGTTGGGACTGGGGGAAGAGCATTTTAAGAGTCTCTTTAGAGATGGCCCATCTACCCAAAAAGATGTGTTTTAGTGAATAATACTTAGTCAACAATACTCCTTTCCATGTCCCTAAACTAGATCAACTTATTATTTTTAATTGATTTCAGAGAGGAAGGGAGAGGAAGAGAGAGAAACATCAATGATGAGAATAATAGATTGGTTGCCTCTTACACACCCCCTACTGGGGACAGAGCCGACAACTGGGGCATGTACCCTTTACTGGAATAAAAACCTGGTATATTCAGCCCAAAGGCCGACACTCTATCCCCTGAGCCAAACCAGCTAGGGCTAGATCAAGTTATTATTGGTCTTAGATGACCTGTATGCAAATTTGAAAAATCTTTCTTAAAAAAAACAATTGGGAACTACAAATAGAAATGAACAATCTGCTGACTTAACTAATTTGAAAAAGTATATCTGCTTTTGCTCTTTTGCTATTGGTGTTTTTGCTTCCTCAAAAAATAAAACAGTTCTGAAAGTAACTGGCAATATCTGCTGTTCTTACTTTTCTCCACATTATTTAATCACCCTGAGCTCATCTCTGAAATGGGGCTGTCACCCTCCACTCAGGCTATTTTGAGGATTCAGTGATAGCAGTGCTTGATATTTATTGTTAGTTCCTGGTTAAAGAACATCTGGCTGCTTTAATTCTGGACTCTTACATGCCTTCTCAATCACTACACCTAGATAATTTCTTAGAGTAAAGAAGTAATACTTCGGACAGCCAACAAAACTGATTTATTAGATATCATTCCTTCCTCCACCCCTTGTCAGCCTGAACCTCCTTCCTGCTTCACCAGGCAGGTGAGGAAACTGAGTTGGGAGGAATATGTTTGCCTGTGCTGAGAGCCAGGATCTGGTTTTTGGAGGTTAAGCTTAAACCAGGGCATCATCCTGACCATTTGGAGTATAATTTGTAGTCCCAATCCTGAAGACCGACTGCATTACATGGCACTTGGCTAATGAGGAAGAAGAAGCTGTTGTTATGGGACAGAAAACAAATTAAGCTGAATAAGAATGGACATCTCCTCAAAACAGTATTGCAACCAAATCAAGTCCCAGATTAGCTGTCTAAATTTCCCAAGCTTTCCAAATATACGTGTCTCCCCACAAATGGAGTCTGGCTCTCATCCAGGGAGGAGTACAGGGGAATCGTTGAAAAGGGAGAACCCTGGGTTGTCAGTGGAGGAGTAGAGATCATGGGATGGCTGGGGAAAAGGCAACTCTGGGTAATGGGTATATGATCAAAAAGAGAAGCACAGCTTTAGCTTAAGGGAGTCAGCATCGTACTAACTGCAGAAGCAGCTGGTGCAGATGAAGGTGAGGACCAGGGTATATGTTAGAGCCTTGTGTACAAAGCCGGGAGATGCTGCAAAAGCCCATGGCTGTTCACGTGGGCTGCATTTCCCATGTGTCCTGTCCGGGCAGAGTCTGGTGGTGCTCTGCTCTACTTGTAAAGATGACAGCAGGAGACCCAAAAGCACAGTGACCAGTTGGCATTTATTAGTGTAGTTATTGTTTGTCACTGCAGCAAACACAGTAGAGGAACCAAGACTTTGTTATCACAAAGAAATAAATAAAGCTTATTTTTAGGAAAATTCTAACCGAGTTACTGAAATCTAGCAGTGGAGGAGCCCAGCCTGTGTGATGGATGAAGCTGGGGTAGAAGTCTTGATAAATTCTACCTAAAAGGAGCTTTCACTCATTGTGCCCCTCGCCAGAGCTGATCTTGGCTGCAGTTAGAGAATAAAAGGAAACCTAATAAAAAATGAGCTAAAACACTTGTGAATGTGTGACCTATCGGGGTGAGCTGACCGCGATGAGACAATCCGAAGGTGTTTACACAGGAGCCTCTCCAGACCGCTTCCGATTGATGTGCTCCAGGTGCGCGTGCTCTGAGGTGTCCAGTTCAATCTCGTATTTGGCTAGGATTTTGAGGATGGGCCTCAGCTTCAGCCACCACTGTTCCTTGGGGATGCGGTGCCTACAAAGGAATGAGGTAGATCAGGGGTGGGGAGTGTCCGGCGCGCAGACTGTAATAAGGCTCATGAAGTCACTTGGTCTGGCCCTGCCAAGGCCTTAGGGTGAGTTAATTAAATGTTCGGCCAGATATAGCAGGCTAATTTTAAAAAGGATCATTTTGTATGGCCCATGAATGACGTTATAAATATCCAAATGGCCCTTGACAGAAGAAAGGCTCCTCACCCCTGAGGGAGGTGTTGATTTAATTAATCTTTTAGCAAGGCAATCAACTATCAAATGCTTATGGGAAGAAGTGGAGCAAAAGAGGCTGGATTTAGAGCATGGGCATCGGATCCTAGGGACAGCTACAGATGTTACTCCTAAGAGAAAAACTGAAGGCCGTGAGCAGACCGGGAAAAGTAGACCTTGAAACTATCAGGGAGGGAATCACTCCAGGAAGCAGAGGTACTCACTCAAAATCGGTCTGATCCTTCAGCTCAGTCACTGGTTGAAAGACCAGGGCCCTCTTCCGCATCCCTAGCACGCAGCCCGAGTCTGGAGTATTGGCAAAAATCCGTCCTGCAATAAGGGATGGTCAGTCAGCTTCTATCCTGGGGAGTCTCTTCAGAGGGGCCTTACCTTCTTACCCCACCTACCATTGCGGTAACTCTCTTTAATTTTCCCAGTCATCCAGTTCATGGCCTTGGCACCCATCTTAGTGGCAAAATTCCTGTCAAATGGAGTTGGGCTACCACCCTAGAAAAAGAAACATAAAAATTACAGAGGGAGGGGCTCTAAATAGCAGAGATATCTGAAAACAGAGAAAAAGGAAAGAATGGACTCTGGTTACTGCCAGAAACAGAAATCTAGGAATATAATTATGAAAGGAAATCCTGGGATAGTTCTGGAACCTGGGAGAGCTGGCCAGGAATATTGGCCATTTGTCAGGTATAAGAGTTATTAATTAGGTAAAGGGATGACTGGTGTCACAATGGCCTCTTCTAGCTCCACCACTCCCAGATCCTCCTGTTCAGGTACTTCTAGTCTCATTGGCCACTCGGTCACTTCCCTACCGCTCTTCAACCTAGCACCTTTGTCAGCCATCATCCTCAGTGACACTGAAGTGTTCCTTGTAGCCCAGTCTGGATGCTCTTGGTAGCACCTCGGCACTAGAGGCCCAATGCACAAAATCCATGCAAGAGTGGGCCTTCATCCCCCACCCCTCCCCAGCTGCCAGCACCAGCTTCCCTCTGGCACCCGGGACCCAGGCTTCCCTCCAGCCACTGGCAGGCACCCAGGACTCAGGCTTCCCTCGCAGTCCCAACTTCGTCTGGAAGGTCATCCAGAAGGACATCCAGTCTAATTAGCATATTACGCTTTTATTATCATAGATGTAGATTTTTTTCTGAACTAAGAGAGAGTAGGGTGGAAAGTGGGAAGGAAAAACAGGAACGAGGTCTTCATACTTTCATGTAATAGTACCCCATTCCTGCAGGTACTCATTCAAACTGAGATACTGGGAATTCATCTGTGGGTAGAGGAAGGTCAAAGGGCAATGCTTAGATAGCATCAGCTGGGGACATTTGGGATGGGGAAGGTCTCAGACCACTAGTACTGTAAGTGAGGCCTACCTTGGGTGGGGATTGGATGTGGGGATTGGATGTGGGTGGTAGAAAGGAATTCCTTTTCCCTTGAAACCCAGTTAGTGGAGATGGAGCCCAGCAGCAGCAAGGTGCCTGCACTCATATTTCACAGGCTCCCTGTGAAATGGTGTGGAGCAAAGAACAATGGCTGAGGCTCATTCTGGCTCTCATCCAAGCTTAATGAATAGCCCTGAAAAAAGTATTTCTCCTCTCTGGGCCTCATTTTCTTCATTGCAATCAGTGGTTCTCAACTGGAGACAATTTGCCCTCCAGGGTACATTGACAGATTTTACTGTGATAACTTGGGATGGCCTTGCTACTGGTGTCTCATGGGCAGAGTCCAGGGATGCTCTTAAACTGTCCTGCAATGCACAGAACAGCCACTACGACAAAGAATTATCCTGCCCAAAACTGCAATAGTGTCGAGGTTGAGAAACCCTGCCCTAACTGAAGAGGATGTGCCACATAATCTCTAAGGCCATTTCCAGGGTAAAGACGGTTTGGTTCTGTGACTGTAAAAGACTGTAGGCCCATGCTGTCTGAGGCACCGACAGCCTCCAGCAGGTCAGAGGCCGGCGGGAGCCTCATAGATGGGAGGGTATGATCGTCTGGTGAAGGGCATGACCAGGGCGTCTTCCTTACCTGCTGCATGTGGCCAAGCACATTCTTCCTGCTGTCGAAGATCCCCTTGCCCTCCTCAGAGTACAGGTTGAAAATGAAGTCAGTAGTATAATTCTCATTGCACTTCTCATTCCTGCCAGGGAGAGACCAAATGCCGTGACTTTGGTTGTCTCCCTACCTCAGCACCCCCTTTCTGCCTCTGCAGGCTCTGTTCTGCCCTCTGCTAGCTCCTCTCATGATTCAGGTTCCCTCCCTTTGGATCCAGATTCCTCAGTGTCCCAACCCGGACCCGTCAGTGGGCTAGGGCCAACGCCTGGCTCTTTCCTCTCTTCACTTAGGAGCAAACCGTGGATGAGGTACCTTAACACCAAGCCCCTTTTCACAGTGGTTTTCATCTTTTGCACCAGATGTTCAACATTCGCCTAAAAAATGAAGCAGTAAATGCTAAGTCTGTGGGAGTGGATAAGGTCGGGCAAGTGCAGAGACCTCTTCCCCACCAGGATTCCCCCACAGGGAACTGGGCCTGATCCCCTTAGGAAGTTCAGGGCAGACTGAAACTTAAATGAAGACCGCAAATGAGGCAGGAAGAGGAAGAAGTGGGAGACAGCCGTGGTGACTGTCAGTTTTAGCCCCTGGCGACCCCTCTCCTTTTCCCTTCCTCGGGGTTTCCGGTTCCCTCGGAGGGCTGACTCTGCTCTCAGCGTCAGTCTTTACAGGAGTTGCTTGTATGTACACTTGGGAGGAACCTGTTCCTTCACTTGGGTTTTGAGTTGGGGGTAGGAGAGACAAAGCCCCTCCCTCCACTCCTGGCGGGGCTGGCTGCAGTCTTGGATTAGGGAACTCCTTCCGTTTCCACGGTGTGGCTCTTTTTTCCTCCAGGGAACTGGGATCTCGGAAAGTAAGGCTCATAGGGTCCCTCTGAGAGAGAGGAGTCAGGGCCTCACCCGGGAGGTGAACGGGCATCCCCTTCTCAAAACTGGAATGAGAGGAGCCCACGGTGGTAGCAAGAGAAATGGGAAGGGCAGTGCGATGTAGTAGAAAGGTCACCCACTTTCTCAATCAGGTATGAGTTGAGAAAGGTTTTTAACCTCTCTAAACCTTTCTCGTCTGTAATATGAAGATAGCATCGCCCTAGCATGTCTGTTGTGAAAATAAAAGGAAAAACACACAGAAAGGTCCGAACAGCATGCCATCCTTCTAAATGAATGCCCCAACAGTAGGCGCTGTGGTCACGAATGCGAGGTCACACCAAGGAA